TAACGTTATAACCGGTAAATATATTATTTTTTAGACGTGTTTCGAGCGAGAGCGGAGTAATTAGAGTTTTAAGAGATGAACCAAGTTCGCCGGATGACCCGACAGATTTTTTTCCAATGACTACATCAATGACTAGAGAATTAAGACTGGAACTAGAATCACTCGATCGACAAGTCTTCGGACCATCACCGCCAAGTGATCAACAATGTGATTGTGTTCTATCTAAAAGAGAAAGCGAATTAGCCGACAGCGAAACAGATACAGAGTTAGCAAGGTGTAGTCCAGCTGCGGATGTATTTGTATGGGAGAATCCTCTGCACACGTTACAGCAAAAGAATCATCCAGCTACTCCAGATGAGCAAGCAGAACTCGAGTATGATGGCGAAATATTAGAAGATCAGAATGGTGTTAAATCTGTTACCCCAATTAGATTACTTAAACGGACTACAAGGTATAGACCAACTTTTTATGATTTCACAAGAATTTTATATTTCGAAGTGTACACAGCCTTAAATATAAAAATTATAAAATTTCATAGGTCCGAATCTGCTTCGGACAGCGAGGAGGCAGAAAGTTGGCACCAAAATGCAACAGTACAAGAAAGTCCAATAAAACAATCGGTACAAGAGCACTGTGAAGAAGCCACAGAGCTTACAAATCTTATTCCAGCAGGAACTTGCGAAGATCAGTTGGGAGAAACTTCTCTACCTCCACCTCACGAATTTGGTGGTGGTAATCCGTTTCTTATGTTCCTCTGTATTACTCTGTTATTGCAACACAGAGACTTTGTTATGCGTAATCAAATGGATTATAACGAAATGGCAATGCATTTCGATAAAATGGTTCGTCGACATAACGTTATTCGAGTGCTCAATCAAGCGAGGCAACTATTCGCTGGTTATCTTAGAAGGCATTCTTCATCGTCATTAGGTGCAAAGTCAGATTCTGTTAATGTGTAGCCTGATAATGCTTGAATATTCATTGTACTTATCAACACCTACCATATAACATGAAATACGAAATGGACGATTTTAAAATATATTGTGTACCGTTCAAGACAAATCACAAAAAATAAGTTTAAAATATGTTTTTTAAATCTAAAAGGTGAATCAAAACACTTCTGTAAATGAAGAAAGATATCAGGTAAAATGCGTATCAGTGATAAGCTAGGCAATAAGAAATTTAAATAATCTCCTCGAGGTGCTCCTTTAATCGTGCTTTCGTAAAAAAATCATTAATTCTTCGTGTATTCTTTTAATCTTTCTAAGCATATTAATTGCGATACATATTATGTATATTCAATCCAAATCTTATTATTGTTTGATGAACATATGTCTCAAAGTATGATAATTTTTATATTATTTATTTGCATTTATCTACATTTACTGTCTATTGATGAGTTTCTTATTAATAAAAGTTTATTTTCTTAGGACAAACTAATTTTAGTTTGGAAGGGTTAACCTTCTTGGCGATCATGTATAATTAAATACAAATACACATATAAACCAATGTCATTATCTGCCGTGTGATAGCACCAGTTGAAAATAATTCTTATATTTCGCATAATTCATGGAACTAAGTGAAGTAAACGTTTCTTCGATACTTAATGTACAAACATTGCAACAGACTTTAAAACGTAATCATGTTGAGAATGACACGACATTAAACCCTCCGTCTGCAACTTTATTTTTACTAACGTTGTCTGCATACTGGTTCACTTAAATTCATCCACATCCTTTTAGGTCTTTTGTGTTTTAAAAGAACCCCAAACATTTTTTAATACTCTTCCAGATCTCTAGAATATTATTTCATAGTTTCCATTGCTACATCTTACCTTCATTTCTTTAAGAGAAGCTACATTTAAACGAAAATATAGGTAAGCTGAGAAATTACCTAATTAATAGTTATAACTACTAGTCGACAACGACCTGGTATGCAGATGAAAGGTTAAATATACTTTATCTGTGACACTATCCTTTGACACTATGCACAATGTATCAATTGCACTGCATTATCTTTCTCACTGTACCTCGATTTAAAATTAAGTGACTGGCTTAAATTTGTAAAATATCTATGATTAGCTTAGTAGCTGTATCTTACTTTGTTCTCGAACAATGTGTTTGAGAAACGACAATAAACTGCATTTAATTTTATCACTAGTAATTAAGTATAAATACGTCCTCTGCATGTTTTCCAGAAGAAATTTACTTTTTCTCTGTTTTATACTTTATTTTAAATAAGTTAATAATTTACATATCATCTTATAATATAACATTAAGTAGATTGTATATATGTGATTGTAAGCTGATTTATTGCAAAATAATTTTAAGTTTATTTTAAGTTTAATACTAAATCACGCCGTTTTTCAAACATGGTATAAGACTCCATAATTCTTTTATTGACCTACTCAAAAAGACATCCATTCATTTACTTTTGTCTTTTACTTCCTCCATTTGCTAACATTGTGAGGATTCTTACAAAGATATTCACTGCATCCATATAAACAGAAATCGCGCTGAAATAAGAAGTATAAAATGTATATGTTGTGTTTGTCAAATTTCACATGTTTATTAAATTACTTACTTATTAATTGGATCGTATGGCCTTGCTAGGTAGTCATAGGTTGGATATGTTTCTGCTTGTTTGATGATACGTTGTGTATCATACAGAAGAAGCATAGAGAAGAGCACCAGACCACCATACAAAGATATTGAATACAAACCAGATCCAAGAGCTGTTGTAGGTGGTAAAAACATTGATCCAACACTACTTGCAAATACAAAACCCAAGCCAATCGCTAATGGACCTCCCATGTTCAGAAACTTTTCATTTGGTGCACAAACTGCAACTACTGATAAACCACCAACTACACCAGCAGTATACCATGCAGCTCTAAGAACCAAAGGTCCCCCAAGTAAATACAAAGGTGCAAGAAATGCACCAACAGTACCAGTATGTATCAACCATGCTATTTGTTTTGTACCAAAACCTTCTTTGTATGGGATAGTCTGTAACAATATTCCACTACCCCAAACAGATGCTAATGTTACTAACATGGCAACCCATCCTTGACGCATTACCAAGTTCATCATAGTTGGTGAACGTAAACATAGTGCTGCAGCTACAGTGCTGCTTACTATAGATGCACCAAGGTACATGTATGTAGTCTTAATTCTATCTTTCACATATTGCGGCCATAACCTATAAAGAATTATATATTGTATTATATCCTATTTTGATATTCTACAACTGATAATATTCTCGTAACTGTAACACTGATTAAAAGAAAATACTTTGCATAATCTATAGCTCCCATAGATGGTGACAAACCCAAACCATAATAGCATAATGAACCTATTCCTATTACAGCACCACCAGCAACAACTCCTTTCCCAATAGTGAATGCTATGAAAGCAAAAGTATTTTCAGTAGTAAGTTTAATACATATATCACAGAATTAACTTTATTTAACTTAACTTAACACAGAAGAATTAAGACTCAAGAATTAACAAAGTAAATGAATTTTAGAAATAAAAGAAACATATTAGGATTATTTATTGCGCACGTATAACATTATACCAATAAATTGGTTATAATGTATATTACATGATAAATCTTAGAAATGTTAAAAAATACTTATAAAATAGGATCACCCCTCTCCCCTCCTTATTACTACATTCAATGAATATACAAAAATTTGGAACAGGTCATATGAAATAACCTATAATCCATATTCATAATTGCGATTGCATCATATTGCATATGTGTTCTCTATTATTACTTTTGTTCTACATACTTTATGTATGGATTGAAATCTTACCTGTTTCTCCTGCAGGAGCCATTGCCTGCTCTGAAATAGTGGCTGATCTACGAGCCGATCTTGCAAATGCACTTCGTCCATCGTTAGCAAATAATCTGGTAGATTGAATTCTCGGAATAAACGGTTTCGAATTAATTGGAGCCTTTAATAGACTAACCAAATTTGATGAGACGGTACTTCGACATACCCTGGCAAGCATCATTTTTGCATGCTCATATCTGAAAAATAATATATTTATTAATAAAAATATCGATGATATCCGCATATTAGCCTAGGTATGTTAAACAAAAAGTACACACGATTTTGAACGAATTATCTTTCAAAAGTTTGAAAAATATTCACATATCTATCAAGATTTATTTAAAACCTCAGATCAATAGTTTTTCGCAAAAATTTCTTGTGATTACTCACAGACGCGGTAAGCTGCAATTGTTCACGACAAATCAATATCTCGAATCGCTAACGCTGACAATTTCCGTGATATATGCGTTTGAAACTTCGAAATAGATATCGTACAGATAGTAGAAACGTTGTAAAGAAATCATGATGTACGCGATGAAAGTGCCATCTTTGGTACATAGTTGCATTGAATTTGTTAAATTTTCGATCGAACATATCAGATCCTAATTTATATATTTCATATATATATATACATAGATTGAATTTTACTTTATATTACTTTGCATCATAAAAATAAAAAATCATTTGTTTTTATAACAGAACAAAAGGTTGTACATTATATCTCTTTCTAATTATTAAGAAATATATACGTGGTTCGGAATGACTTCTTCGTTTAGTAGTGTGCGGATACCCGAGATTACGCACTCGAATAGGCTTGGAAAAAGTTGGAAAATACGTACTATTTTTAAAATATATAGTTGTAATTAATATCACAAAACATATAATCATACGAAACATATTAACGAAATATATTTTAATATAGCATTAACAGATGAAAATAAAAATTATATATATTAGTCTAGATTCACAAAGTCTAGAATTAAAATGGCATTTCCGGTTAATTTTATTCATTAACAATGGCGACGTTGCATTTGTTTGAATTAACCAATCAAATGCAATCTCTATTAATAAAACAACCAATCATGTTCTCGGAGAAATATACCCATAATGCACCGGAGATGGAGGTACGTAGTGGGTCAGTTCCTCTAGTAGATCTCCAATTTTGCTTCTTCGTTCACTTCGTTGTCGGACGCCATAATCAACGCTTCGTTTCGCAGAAGAGTGGGAAGTAAATCGAACTTTTTAGCGAAAAATCTTGTCTTTAATAATTACGGCTTGAAACATTTGAGCGGACGATGGCAGGAGCCGAATCGCCTAAATTAAAACAGGAATCGCAGAATGCATCTACAGAGAATAGTAATGAAAATCCACGAGAACGGAATCCTCCTGGTGGCGGCAACCGTGGTCCTCGTGGGCGAAAAGGAGGGACACGTTTTTCTGGCGGACGTGGTGGCGGAATGGGCGGAGGAAACAGAAATAACGATGGACCGGTAAGAATTTCATATAATTCTTTTATATATATATATATATTTTTTGTTGAGACTATAGTCGTTGTTCCTACCGCCATATTTGCTATAAATTGATGCGTAATATTTCCACTGGTTTTAAACTTCTGTCCTTTCGATTCATTAACTGTCGTTATTTATAAATATAATTTTTATTTATGTTATATACACATCAATTTATTATAGTGTTGCAACTAAAATAATGTTAGTCTTTTTTGTGATGCAGTATAAATACTATTTAATTAACTGTATTTTAATTACATTAACATATATGTATACCGTTACTGTAGGCAAATATTTAAATAAAATTTATAAGTACTCGAGAAGTTATATTAATATTTCTCAAATTGGAATATTAGATACATCGAAAAAGAAGCGCTGATAAAGTAAACTGAGATTTTTAGTTCTATTATTCTGTAAGGTCGATATAAAATACATTATAGTCAATAATTTTATTGCTGTGAGTACAATCAGTAAACGTTGTTATTTACCAGAGTTTCTGTATGAAGAAATGATTATAATATATTGATTCTTCATCAGAGTAGTTACAAAATGGCGTGTACGAAAATTGAAATGGCAGATAAATGTATCCTCGCTTTTACAACACGTGGTTAAAACATTTTTGTTCTCCTATAAATAGTATAATATATTTTATTAATGTATTTGTAGCGATCTAAATGTAAATTTTCTAGATTTCAAATGAGAATTTGGAATTTCAAAATTATTTAGAATTTGAATTAATTTAGTTTTAGGTAATAATAATAACAATTTGTAAAATTCATAACGTCAGGTATCATTTCAGTATTTATTAGCATTTATGAGATTTAAATAAATATTTCGAAAAATTGCTACGCAAAATGGCCGATTTCTAAGACCTCCAATGTCCATAATTTTGGCGAAGATAATGTTAATCTACCAAATTTAGTGTACTTTGTGATTAACTTTTGGTATTTGTATCTTTGGACATAAACTTTTTATAATCAACAGGTTGTACGTTTTAACGTAGCCTTTCCAAAAACTGTGTTATAGCCACTACTATGCACTGTCGATTAGTAGTCAGTAACCAAGTCTTCAGCAACCGCTGTGTTCGAAATATATATATATGTCGGAGATGAAAGAACACCGGAGCCTTCGGAATTTTGGATAATCCCGCAACATTGTAACCTAGAGTCTACTATAGCTGTAATTAAACAATTGTAGTTATTCAATCCGATTGTAATTGTTCGAGAGTTGTGATAATGAGCTCGGGCTCGAGGTGACAGCCAGTCGCCGAACGTAGCCGCGATCACGGGATGAACGCCTTGTCTAACAAAGGCATGGAGTAATTCTATAGCTCTCTTTAAAAAGGAAATAGTTGTAACACTCGACAGTAAACATTCTAACGGTCTCTGTCCCGTAGCTCGCCACACGCAGACCCTATTCTTCGAGTAAGATGATTGCCAGACGTCGATGCGTCTCCGCAGTACATGTTCAGCTAGCTCGAGGGCCCGTTATAAATCTTAAGATTTAGTCAACTCAAGTCCTTCAAACAGACAAACAGTCTTTGTCCCAACTACGGGAAGATAGGAGAGACCTATTTTTCAACGAACGGCGTCTCCCACTAGCAAGTTCCCTCGAGGGCGGCTAGCATCTTTTTCTAACCACTGATATAGAGATTGACCAATTAGCAGCAACGCCAATTTCCCTTACTTTCTGAACGAAGGCTTTTTTCGACAAATCCGATGATCTCATGTCCTTAGACACATCCCATTATAGTTTCCTTCTGTGGTATCATCGGGACGGGAAGGTCATTCTCTCTCGCGATTTCATCGACGAAAAGAGTAACCCCTTATGACCAGTGAATATTACGCATCCGACTTAGATTTTGTGAGCACGTTCATCTATCATGCCGTCGACCGTGGATTCGTTATTGAACCTAGGATCGTTGTCACTAGTTTCTCGAGTATCTAACTACGACGGTTACTTGTCCGGTTCTATGATAATCGTATTTGCACCAGTCAATGTCTTCTCTATCGCATAACAACATAATCGTAGTCCACAAAGGATTAATCGTGAGACCACTTTTATATAGCTACCTCCTTGTCCGTCTATGATGTAACTTGTTATTTTTTTAATAGAAAACGAAAATGTCAGTTGTAAAAGATAATAATAATAATAAACACATCAGAAACGATAAGTATGTATACAAATAATAAGTATGTATATAAACGTGACTGAATTTTATAAATATTACAGATGAAAATGAATGATCCTATGGATGGTGGTATGGACAATACCATGAATGAAGGAATAGGCGGAGGTATGGGTGGAGGTATGGGTATTGGACGTGGCGGTGGAATGCGTGGTGGTAGAGGTGGCCGCGGAGGGGGTGATAGAAACATGGGAAATCGATCACAAGATGTAAGTATGAATTAAAGAAATTATATGTACACACTAATTTTTTCAATTAACGCGAAGTATGTGTTCTATATATGGATTCTTTACTTAGATAAAAATTACTACAAAAGAATTATTTATAGAGAAAATCAATATAAGTTATAAAATTATTTATTTCATATTTTTATAAAAAAAGGATAATAATGAGAGCTTACAGAACCAAAAGAAATTTTATTCCTCGTTGTTGTCAGTACTGTAGCTCAAAATAGTCTCTCTTTTCTCTTTTAATTAACACGAAATCAATATCCTTGCTACTTGTAAACACGCGTTTAACGCATTCAATGCAGAAGATGCGAACGTATGCATTTCCGGATTTCCTATTTTCTTGCGGATGACGCCTGAATAAGTGAGATACATGTTATAAAAATATCGATTTTCGCCATCAGAGGCCCTCTTCAATTTTGTATGTCACATTGAATGTGTTAATATAATATGTGTAAGTTAAGCAGAAAAGATTGGAATGATGTAATAATTAGCTAATCAAGCGAGAATTTATATATTATGTATACTAATATACAATAAGAAAATGTTTTCTGGTGTAAAATGAAATTGCAATCGTAAACTAACATTAAAAAGATCAGTGTAAATCGAGAAATCAATGTGTACATATTAATACACAATACCTTTTTATAATCTTATTAATACTGCTTTTATTTTCGTGATCAGGATCGTTTAATGGAACGGATTATGGCTATTAGTGGTCCTACGCATGATCTACCACCCCCAGAAACCACTGAAAAGAAATTCAGTGGTCGTAATCGTCTGTATATTGGAAACTTGTCAAATGACGTTACAGAAGAGGAAATTCAACAGATCTTTCAACAATATGGTGAAATATCCGAACTTTTTGTAAATAAAGAGAAAAACTTTGCATTTCTTAGGATGGTGAGTTCAATAATTTTTCTTTCTTCCTTCTTTTTTCGTAATGTTTACATAAAAAAATGATTAAAATAATTACCGTCTGAAAGAAAATGATAAGATTTAGGCTGCTATCTTATACTATATGATGCATTGCATGTATATATATATATGTATATATGGATTTGTATGTATGACATTAAACTATAACTTAATCTTTTATTTTATAGGATTATAGGGTAAATGCCGAGAAGGCAAAACATGAGTTAGATGGAAAAAATGTATTCACAAATAGTAAAGGACGCGCACTTAAAGTTCGTTTTGCTCCACATTCTTCGACAGTTAAAGTTAAAAATCTTACACCTTGGATTACGAATGAATTGCTTGAGAGGGCATTCAGTGTTTTTGGTGAAATTGAACGGGCGATAGTTATAGCGGATGACAAGGGAAAATCTACTGGAGAGGGAATTGTAGAATTCTGCAGAAAACCGTCAGCCCAACTTGCTTTACGAAAGTGCACAGAAGGATGCTACTTTTTAACCGCGTACGTTTTTACTATAAATAAAAATGTTGTTTACCCCAATGCCACGCTTGTTTGACGTATTTAATTTATCTACAAGTGCCTAAAAATTGATCATAACGGGGTAAAGAAAAATAGTTCCCAAAGGAAGCATGATACAATAGATGTTTGTATTGTGTGCCGCAAATTGGAACACAAAACATTATTTTAAATATAATTTTATTGAAAGAAGGAGAGAGAACTTCGAAAACTTACATTCGAAAATTTACTTATAGGTCTCTACGTCCTGTAGTTGTTAAACCATTTGAATTACTAGATGACATTGATGGTTATTCAGACAAAAATCTACCTCGGAAAAATCAGGAATTTTTTACAGCTCGCGATATTGGTCCAAGGTTTGCAAAGATAGGAAGTTTTGAATATGAATATGGAACGAGGTGGAAACAGCTGCACGAATTATATGAGCAGAAAGAAGAAGCACTAAAAAGAGAAATGGCAATGGAGGAAGAAAAATTGGAAGCTCAAATGGAATTTGCACGATATGAACACGAAACTGAATTGTTGAGAGAACGTAAGTATTTTAACATCATTAAAAGATATTGCTTTAATATATACATATACATCGCACAAGCAATGTAAGTGTAATAAATCAGGAAATCAATAAGTTGATTTTCTTTAATTGATAGAATTGCGTATGCGCGAGGCCGATCGTGAGAGACAAAAGCGAGAATGGGAAATGAAAGAAAGACAGGCTGAAGAACAAAGAACGCGTGAAGAAGAACTACGAAGGAGACAACAGGAAGAAATGGCAATGCGTATTAGAAGACAAGAAGAGGAGCTACATCGTCGTCAACAAGAAAATAATTTATTCATGCAGGTAATTACTTGGCAACATTAACAAAAAACTAAATTCATTGGAATTACAGAAAGTTTCTATGATCATAGGTTGAAATTTTAACATCTTTATACTATAGGGATAACAATAGAGATCAGTAACATGTATTTATTAGAAACATGTATTTAAAAAAACTACATGCGGAGGTTACATAAAAGATTTTTATTTTTTATGCGTTTGCGAGAACGCATTATTTATTATTAACACTTTTATTTATTTATTTTATTTATTATTATTAACACTTTACCGACCGCTAGCGATTCAACAGCATACGCACGTCCGACCGGCATCTTAGGCGCTGACTCTATTTCGGTTTAGACTCTCCACGAACGCGAACGGTAAGTTTTTTAAATTGGTATAAAACTGTGGGAGCTTACAAAGCAACGCAACTGACGCAACTGAGCCAAGGTGCCTTAGTACTAAATAAATTACTGTTCAAATAATGAGAAAGATTGTCTGCGACAAAAAGCCGATTAATAGGCTATCGGTCGGTAAAGTGTTAACATTTATTATCATTATCATAGTGATAGGAATAGGATAGTATCACTACTTATAATGTTTGTGTGTCAGTATATTTGTATTTTTTTGTTTTGTTTTGTTTTTTTTTTTTACTAACGCTTGCGCTTATGTTCCTCTTATATTTAAGGAGCAAACAATGAGAGGAGGTGGAGGAGGCGGGATGGGAGGAAAAAATTATGATTCCGTTGGTAATAATGACCGCGATGGATATGGACAGCCAGATGGTAAGTTTCTTAAGATGTTGAAATGTTATTCTTCATAAACTCAACTATATTTCTCTAGCATATAATGTGTATTTATTTACTAGTATATTTGAATTCAATTAGTTCTCCTCGAAATAGAAATTTATATTTTATACTGATTGTTATTATTATATATAAAATTATATATAAATAATTATTATATATAAATTTTTACATGAAACATTTGTTCAAAATTCTTCAAAGCTATTTGTAATGGAAAAATTTACTTCGTTACAGGTGGAAGCAGCATGCCAGTGGTAATGTATCCCCCATTAAATTATCATTCTATATATATACATAAATATATATATATATTTATGTATATGTACATATATATGCATATGCACATACACGCATATATGTATATATATATGTATGTATGTATATATATATTTTCTTTTTTCCATAAAGTATTTATTTTTTCTGAAACTATTTCTTTGATATTTCATTTATGTATATTTCCATTTGGTGATATTACTAAACAAATTATTCTACCTATATATGAGAATCTTTTGTTAGAAATAATTGAACTGCCTTGCATGGTAAAATCGCGAGTATTATTAGTGAACACTTGTGAAAAACATAAGTGAAAGAACTTTACGAATATTCCTATAAAGCATGCTTTCCAATATAGCAGGGTTCTAATGTCTGCAACAATGGTAATAGTATTAAAATCAGTCTAATATCGAATATATATATCGTACAATAATAACTTTTAATTAGTTTATTATAACATGTGGAGGTGTCAATGGGCCTTAACATTAAATTTTCTACTTAACGGGAGATCATTTGTTGTAGCGTGAATAAGATACAGAAGTTTAAATTAATTTATTCGGTCTCCATAGAACCGAAGTATTTTGCGAGGTAGTAAGGACGATACTTATCATATCTTATATTTGAAACCTTTTATCTACGTTCACGTAACACACCGCTGCAATCTTTGTTAAATATTTTTCACTTGTATTACAAACGCATGTGAATGGTTTCTATTATTGTCTACTACAAACGGTTACTGAAACATGTGACATTTTTGGTTTTTTGAATGTAGTTCTACTTCTTGTAAAAATGTATGATTCTATGCTGATAAAAATATTTTAAAGCATTTATTGCTGGTTGGAAGGTTTTATCACGCTGACATTTATAAGTATTCAAAGTTATGAAATTAACAGAGAGGATATTTAAAAGTAAATGTACGAAATTTTGGAGAAATGTTAGGAAATTTTTATTAACTTATTATAAATAATGCGAGATATAAAGGTTGTATAGGTAGGTAAAGGTTTTATTGGACGGACTCTTCTCGCCATACCTAAATTTTTAATTTTTTAACTGCACTGTGAGATCGATACATTTAAGCCAGCAATCGCTTATTTTTACCTATACCATACATGACTAATTCTTAAACATCTTCGCTTTTATCTATAGGACGTGAATTTTAACGATAGTACTTTTATAAGCATTTGAGGGAATCCGCTTTTTTCAGTTTATACTGGTAATAAGCTTTGGGTTAATGTTCTACGTATTCAATTCGAATATATTCTTCATAAACAGGGCTTTGGAATTCATAAATATTGAATCTAGGAATACTTTTTAGGCATTCATCAGTAAAATTGAAGCTAAAACTGAATTAATATTTCGTGCCTCATTGGCTTCTCCATATGCTTGCAGACAGGAGGCTCTGTTCTTCTATTTTCTCTAGTTACATTAAGAATTAGGTATTAGGTATGCTTATATACTATGGAACTAGCATCGTTCAACGTATAAATCTGAACATTAGAACTAAATTAAATATTCATTTCCTCGCTTAAATAGTTCCATAGTAATAATTGGATATTTATTAACCAACAAATGCCCAACTACATTGAATATTAATTAAACATAATTAGCTGTATTCAGAAATTATTTTTATTTAAATAAATATTGACTATATTTAAATATAGTATATATTTAAATATGCACACATACATTTATTTAGAGATATTTACTTGAAGATTAAGTGCAATTTAAACATAGTTTCTGAGTACAGCAATATCAATTTTGATTTACAATAAGTAAAAGAGCTTAAAACAATCTTTATGTTTCATTTATCTAAATGAATATAATTTTGAGTTTTTATTGTTATATTAATCTTTATGAATCTTTTTTCATATTCCAAACTATATATTTTGTGAACTATTTATTACATACCTTACATGCACGATTCTGTAGTATAGATATTGTATAAAGTTTGCTTAGAGATCTTGATCACATCTCTTTGTCACTTATACAAATATTTAAGCTTCAGAGTTGTGTAAAATTGATTCAATATTAATTGTTACAACATTATCGCTAAAAATACACACTATTGATATAACTAATATGACGAGATACTTCTTGTTCGTACACTAGAACGGTTATATTTTTAAAAGTCGTATAACTACGTGTTGGGTACTTAAATTAAGAACCTCGTATACGTTTCTATAATTTAAAACCCCTAATGTTCTATATATGAACGTTTATTGTGCGTTTAACATTATTTGATGAGGACTTGGTACCGAATTTGAAATATCTATCGTGTAAATTAAAATTTTTAACAATTTCAGAGAAATTTCTCTAGCGGTATGGAATAATATAATAGCGTATATTCTTTCAGTTAAATTACACCCATAGGAATCATCCAGTTAAATTACACCCAGTGGAATCTAGTGTGATACATCTATACTTCTACTTTAATCCCGAAAGTTCTAAACCTTTAATTTTATGACTCGAATTCAATCTTAAAATATGACTTATAAAGTTAAGGGTGCATTTAAATGAACGGACTTATGCAAAATATTGTAGACGAAGAAATACATTCTAAGGATATTCTTCTAACCTATTTCACCAGACTTGTGTGCACTGACTTAGACGGTAACCATTGTCGATCGTATGTTGGGCATTTGCTTGGTTTAATAAGGCTAATCGATGTTGAGAAAACGGCATACTCTGAAAGCAGTGTAACTATTCGTATCTATGATTTGTTCTAGCGCGTGTATTATTCACGCATTCCATTCTACTAATGTTGTACGTACAAACAACATCTAACATTGTGTTTTCCCCTTTCTTTTCTATGTGATTTGACGAAAATTGACGATGACCTGTGCTGCTGTCAAACATGGATGGTCGCCCTGAACCGTGAAATGTATTTATGGTACATCCAAAATCTACAAAACACCGTTATTCACCGTATTAAACAAAAATCGTTGGCATTCATTTCGGTGATATCGGCTCATAACTTTCGACTACACTTCGTCCTTAAAATATCATTTTGTTTTTACTTTACGCGTAATAATTAAATTCACCTTTCTCTGTAATGATGATTAGGATCCAAAGTCTTTTATGGATGCTTATAATAGTATGGATCGTGGTAGTCGTGGGGGTTACAATGACGATCGTAGTCAAATAATGGATTTGATGGATATGAGGGTCGATATGGGTAATATGGGTGGTGGTCGTGGAGGTAGTGGTGGTAGTGGACGTTGGCAAGGTGGAAGTGATCGTAATCGTCAGGATGACTATCCTAATAAAAGAAGACGCTATTAAAGATGTTGCGGTATTAACATAACTTCCTTTTTCTAATCGATTGAGAAGAATCAATAGTTCGCATTGTAGTCATTTTTTCCAACAAAATTTGTTATCGATCATCTTTCACGTTTTATATCATGGCACAGTGTTTCGAGTATATGGGCGTTCAGGGCAAAAATCATAACATTGTATCTGTACACAATTTTTTCTTCAATTCACTCTTTGGTTTTAAATTGAACTTTCATTCATTTGTTAAAATGTAAATACTACGATTATATTGATTCAGGGAAAGATTCAGAACATACGTGTGTTTGCATCATGACAGATGAATCATTTGTTGCTATTAAATATTACCTTGTATCTGTAGTTGAATATTTCCTTAATTTTATTATATCATTTTCTGTGTGTTTCGACACACTTGTATCATAGTTTGTGATAAGCAAATTGTACAAATTTTTATTACAGTTTTCCCTAGAACTTTTGAGGCTATGATGTTTCCGTATATATCTTATTTCATTATGTCTAACTAACCATAGCTTCTTTAGACAACGTTTTCATAAATATTGTTACGCGTGTAATAATATCTATTCCGTAAATTAGTAATTTATATAAAGGCATATTATGCCATTCATAAATAGAGAATTATATCGTTATTGTTTTTTGTAACAGTACTGTACAAAAGTAATACGATGACTATAGCGAACAAACAAAAATTTTAAGAAAAATAAACAGTATCTATATAATGAAGGATTAGGAATATTTAGTGAGTCCATATATAGCATCGCGTAACGCTGAAGCGATGCCATTTTGGCCATCTTTTCTATTTTGAACAAATTTTAGACAATTGAAACTTTGATTTTAATATAAAATTTACTACTATCCTTCACATTAAAAAAAGTTCAGATTATTTGTTATTATTGAGATTATTTGAAATTGAAATTGAATTTACTCTCACCAGTTTCAAAGGTGATAGGATATTGAATTTTAAGAAAAATCAGATTAAATATGCAAATGCTGATTTTTGTGATAAACTTTATGCCTCAATTTTAGTAACAAATAGATTTCGTTATTAACATTTCAAGATAGAACAATCTGTAGATCTCAATTCCTTTTTTTCATTTCCTCTCTTTCTTTTCTTTTTCTCCTTTTTCTTCTTATTTCTCTGTTTTCTTTTATTTTTTGTCCATTGATCGAAATGCTGTGCATAAAGGCGAAACAATATTAATAAGAATGAATAGGCAACAATGAAAGGGTGATATGTAATGATTGAGAGAGTGTGCTTTTATATTTTTCAATGTGGATCTGATTTCGTGATATCGCGAATTATTTTATTCATGTGGCATTACTTCAACAAATTTCAAGGGAGTACCCTATCTTGTGAGCCAAGAAAACAGATAAATTAAGACTTTCCTTCTCAGGGTAATTATTGTGTGAAATATCGGGATTTTCTTTCAAAGGATGTTGGGCAACGTTTTATATTCAGTTTCATCTAATGTCTGAAATTACAAAACGGCGGAGTTATGCAACATTATCTATTGTCATGTTTGATAAAACCTTTGAATCTGGTATCTGAAGTGACTGGAACGTAAAACAAGAAAAATTTCCATATCAATCTAAACAAAGATATAACGTAGTTATAACGTAGCTCACTATCCTTAGGTGTAGCTTTCAGTAATATACAAATGATGGTATTTGAAAGGAAATGGGTTTTCACCCAATAAAGTTAACTTTTGTAAAACGAATTTAAATATCAGAGAAGATCGTATGCTGTGCATTTTACGTAATCTTATAATGCGTAATAATACGTAATAATTTAAAAAGTTAGTCGAATATACTTAGTTGTTGATATCTACCTTGGGTCTCACGTGAAAACGATGTTTTCGAGGAAATCGTGGTCATAGACCAATTTATTTGGTCATAGTTTTAAATGGTCATAGACCATTTAAGCCAATATTTTAACGAAATAAAACAAACATTTTAAGAATTTATCCTTAGCTCGCAGTTCTAACTCTATAACAGGATACTCCTGGCTCGGAAACTTTCATCAGCTTGTTTTAAAGCTACTCTTAGTAATTATGGAATTTCTTTGGACCTTTATCGTGTTCCTGAATTTTCGCGCGTTTAGGTGTTGTTTGTTTACTTCTTCGCAAAAATCGCTTGCACTACTTCCAATAACCGGTTTCATAAATTGCTTCATTAATGATATTGTTTTATATACACCGTTGAGAATACTAGCAGCAACGAAATCTGCAATTTTTCTCATCATCATTTTCCATTTTCTTATTACAGATTATTGTCTTCGGGACAATTGTCCAAATTACAGAATTTACACTCACTCTTATTGTTTTGCGTGAATCAGTCCATATCGTTTTTCCGGATTATTTGACCCGAGACGGTTTTCTAACGTTACTTCAATAAACAAAAAATCAAAGTTTTATCTATATTGAAAAATTAACCGAAATTTCTGTTTCACAAACGTTATATTAGATCTTCCTACCTGACGCGCAATATACAGTGATTTTTGGTGCCGTAACTTCGCCAATTTTCGAATTTCAAAAAATCCAACTGCAATATTCTATGAAATGTTGAAAATATCTTCGGTTTTTCGAAACCGACAAGGTTAGGGGTACTCCCTTCCAAATATAAATTTACGAATGTGTGTTTAATACATGGGAAGTCCTTTTAAAGGGATTTAATGGTACTTTTCAATTTGATGTATTAACAAATTGTAAATATTTTAACAGGCATACTTCTTGAGCCATCGAAAAAGCAAAATATCAGCGTACTGTTAAAACATTGACTATTAACATAACCGTATCTTTTTCCAAGGATAAAGAAATGATTTGAACTGTACGCCTCTTAATCCCCCATAAGACTGTTCTAAACATGAGAATCGCATATAATGGAAAAACTGAATTTAAATTTGCGGTGTCACTATAACATACAGTAATGTAGACAAACGTATATTCACTGTCAATTAGTACTTTCAATAAAATAATCATCTCATAGAAGTTTCTCTTTATGAAACAATATGTAAATATTACAAATAATATAGTAGTATTGCTTTTCATTACTATTGTATTGTCATACTTATATACTATTCATAGTTCATTATTTCATTTGATTCGGTAGTTTTTCAGGGTGAAAGTATATACACTGTCCGTACTTTTAGCTTTGTTCTTTACGATTAAAAAATTAGTTCGTAAGTAAAAAGTGCGTTTAGTATTGACTGAAATCGATATCGGTCATTTGGTAACTTATCTTTCTAATAACGAGTAAAATTTCTTATATACGTGTCTGTGTCAAAGTTTTACTCCGTGCATTATGCATATTCATACGTTACGTGTCTTTATGTTAATGATGGTGTGAATGTCGCCACGAGAAGAAGTATATGCAATATCTGCATTACTCGAAGCTTTATAAAAGTAATTACATTAGAATAAGACGTATATTCTCAGCAGCAGTAATCAATCTGCGCTTGTGCTATTCAAATTTTGTGAAGGAACATAATTGACAGAAAGTAATTTTATGAATAAAGATTTACATATATCCATACATAGGAATATATAATACACTAACGTTTATTTAATTACTAATCTTCTCCGTTAAAATTTCGCGAATATCGCGTTTATTTGAAAGATATTGTGAAAATATGCTGCATCTTTGTTTTCAATACACTGAGTTCAATACTCGGTCGACGCTTATTATGAAATTGAATCTTAAATATGTCATACAAACTAACGTCATAGGCATATACAATTTATCTCTATAAGTTGTAAGAGGAAATTAAATATGAACACTCCATATAAGTTATAATTTGTATGCTTGCAACTTTGAATAACACTACTGCAATGATGATTTTATATTACATTGTTACACATTTATATTTTATAACATCTTTTTCTATAATTTAAAAAAGTTTATACCGTGATGGGTTGATATTTATGGAGAACTGTGAATTGAAACAAGTACTAGAATACTTGACAAATAGATTTTTATAAGAATCCGAGGAGTAATTATACGACAGATATTATTCTTCTTATAGAAATATACGAAGGCAGTGTGTTCGGAGGTTAAGCTTATTTTACTATTAAACCACTAATCATCACCGCTTATAGGTGAATATTAAGCAAAGATATTTCGATAACGGTATATTTGTTAAACTGTTCTAACTCGAATGTGAGTTATGAATTTCCTAAAAAGAGATAGGGATATTATAGTTAAAATAGAAAATGATAATAAGTATTACGTTCTATCTTAAATGCTGATATATAATGCTATTAAAATATATATCTTTTTATAAACTTTGAAGGATTCATCCGAGATAAATTTCAACTTAATTTTAAATTAAAAAGTAGTAAACTTTCTTTTTTAAAAGTGTTTGCGGTACATTTCTTTCATTTTGGGAGTAAATTAAAGTTTTGATATTGACGTTTTAAATAAAAGTAAGCATAATATAATGTAATCAAGTACAATTAGAAGTATTTGCTTGGAGAAAACTGAAAAGTTATGGTGAAAAAGTAATATTATCTGATCTACTTTTATTACAAGTTTATTATTTTCAAATATATCACCGCATTTCTTTCAGGAATCCCTCGACATAATGGACATCATACATTTTATATTTCTATGAAGTTTCCAATAATGTGATAATTTTTAACAATGAACAAGTTCTTGGAGGAATGTATATTTTCATGAAATTCATTTTAAATTATTCTTCATTATTCTTCATTATTCTTTACCCACATTTTGTGTCTCTCTGTAAAATCTTACCCCTAGAATGTCATTATTACATGGTTCGTCATTGAAGAATTTCCAAACATGACTTCATTTGATATTGTATTCTCGTATTATACTAATAACTACTTTATAAACGGTGCATTAAAAAATGTAATACAAATTCATCTTGTGTTTTCCGAATGAAAGTGAACATTTACAATGAGATTCGCCAAAATATAGCTATTTAATGAACATGTTCTTAACATATCTGCATTACATAATTTATACATTATATAAACACATGAGATGTGTATACATAAGAGGCCTTAATGAACGAGAATCTTCACTACTTTAAACACACCACTAAGCTGATTATGAAAAATGGATATGGTCAGACTACTATATCTTTATTTGAGAATTTTTCTGGCAATGCCTATACACATTACGTGACAAATATTGTCATTATTGAATAAGTGTCTAGATAATAATAAAGTATTTCTTGCGATCAAAGTTATCCAATTTCTTTATCGAAGGAAACTGTTATGTGCAAGTAATACGCATTTGTTTGAAATTCCTAATAATGCGCGATATAAACTGACTGTTGTTAATCAAGAATCTCTTAACGGAGGAGAGTCTGCAATCACAAGATAGGCTTACATACTTGAAACTACTAGTCAGTGAAACTACTGGTACGAGGTGAGTAGACTTTGTAAAACTGTTATTATGCGTACTTCTATTTTAATCTTCGGGTGGGACATTTATATGAATATATGGTAAAGATTATGAAATAGTATAAATGGCACATGACATAAATGTTACATATATTTCATCATTGTAATCTTTATTTACTTAATATTGAATACATAAATTATAATTCAGCAATTAAGGAGCTCCATATTTTTGAACGAGTCTAATAATTTGTAATCTTTACCAGCGAAATTGAACTTATAACGTTATCCAAAATTAGCAAACAAATAGGAAATTACGATATAGAATGGTTTATTTTGTTAATTGTATGTATTCAATATACCATTGACTTCATATTCAACCAAGCTAACTCTTATGAAAATCTAATCGTTTTATTATATGATTTTATAAAAACCCTAATAATACTTGTGTACAAATTTACCAGCCTAGTCCGTGTTTTTACCTATGACAACCGAAATATTCTTGTATACCAACTTTAGCAAAGGTTGTCTGGGTTCATTATTGAAATCTAGGCTGATATATCTAATTGTTACTTGAACAACAAAACTGCAATATCGTATTGGCTATACTTATACCTTGGGTGGTAAATATATATATATAGGCCACTTTATCAAATATACTATACATATAATTTATGCATTTAGTGCTATCAAATATTATTTAAAAAGGTTAGATATTTTAATATTTAAAATCTGAAACTATATATTAGTTATACCCATAAAGAATTTTCGTTTGTAAGACCTATGCAGCCTATACTATTTCTATATTTTAAAAATTGTTAATTTTAATTTATTTGTAAATTTACATGTTTTACACTGTATAAAACTGCATATAAAACGATATTATATTTTTAATATATTATATATATACGTAACATGAATTTTTACTTACACAATTTTAATTATCGAAGGGGTGAAAAATGTTTCATGTCGTATAACAGAGTTCATATTTGTATGGACGGTATTATTATACTTCACAAGATATACTCTCGAAGTTTAAGATGTGTGGAAGTAATCTCTGTGAACAATCGCTTCATCGATTGTAACGATCTGTAATCGTTAACTTTAAATGTAATTTGTATACAAAAAGTATTAATTCATTGCATACCGTATTAAAACTTTTAATATATTGTTTTTATGTAAAATATTTATATTAGTATTTATGTTTACAGATACTAATAGCAGTTGCTAGCTGAGGGAATGAATAAAACGTATTGAGAAGTGAAAAGGTAAATTTACATAAAAACTATTATATACCTTTAAGAATCAAACGAATAATTTATATTGAATTGTATTGTAATATGGAATAATGAGATTATATATGATATAATTATATCTAATCTTCATTTATTCCAAGTTTTTTAGAATTTTTTTTAATGCACTAATTATATAGAATTTAAGGCAATTATACAACGGCAATTATACCACATATCACTTTCTCTGATAATAGAATTTTCATTTACAGATTTGCACACTTCACATTTAATTGCATCTATTTCACCATCCCGTATGTATTCAACATACAAACGCAAAATGTGTGCAAAAGAATGCGTGCAGAATCATAAGGTTTGTTTCAATGTTGTCTTGCTTTTCTTTGTCTATCGAGTTAAGGTTAAATATTTTTTTACAATTGCATTCCTTTCTACGATGACAAATATGTGATTAATGAAAGATTTCAATGATTATCTCAACGTGTCTTGGGTGTATTGCTTCAAAATTTTCACTTGAACTAACGTGTATATGCTCGTATAATATTAATACTAATAAAATACTTTTTGTTTTGCAGGAGGAAAATATACAAACGTGTCGAAATTTACGTGTCAGAATTAATAACGCTAATCATATTACGAAAGTTTCGAAGGATTATGATTATATCAAATGTCGGATCATTGTACAGTTTTGATTTAACTAATCATCCCTTTAAATATTTCTTCGTACTTAATGGACTAGATGAAGCAAAAAATTAATTTTGTACGCTATACGCACACAGCAAGTCATCGTTTTGGAATAGGAGTATTTAAGGTAATATACATTTTTTAAAGTATTATTTCGACGGTACATCAAACCTACAGATATTTCATTCCACATATTTCTTTTTCATTTTATGTATCTTATTTTATGCAAAAATTTCTAAAATATAATGATGATTTTCTTTCGGGGCTGAGCATAGTGACGAAGCTTCAAAAATCCAACGTGTACACTTTCACTGAGAAAAACAAAGATTCATATATATTCAAGTTTAGTACGTTTAAGTGGTAATTGTACTTTTTTTTTTTTTTAGGACGTTAGAAGCTGCTATGAGAGGTGGAATTGTTTTGACGATATATCATACTTTAAAAGGTGATTATTTATTCAGACAATACCAATTATCATGATTTTACTATCAATTATACGAATGACAAAAAGAAATACTCGTATATTTTAATCACATCATATCTGTTTCGTTCAGTTAAATTCTCAAAATGATTAACTGCCTAAATGTATCCCCAATATGTTCGTTGACCGTGGATGCTTAACTAGACAATACTTGTGTATATTTTCATATAAACCTATTATGATGAAATTTTGGCTAGAGTTCTGAATAAAAGATGACAATTATTGTTCGTATATTATACTGAAACTTAATATACAAATAATAAAAGAAAATCATCTAAATGCAATTTTCTAAATAGTTTTTTTTTTATTGCAGTGTTTGACTCAAAATACCAAAATTATCAATATCGTTGGGTCCTAAAATACAATTTGAAATTTCCGAGCTTTTTCCGTTCATGTGACCGGCTAGCAGCCTTTTTTGTTGAGAGCGTTCGGATTGTAAAAGGTGAAAAGTCGTCGAAAGTCGAAAATATAGAATAAAAATTCTTTTTTTTTTTTTTCTTAATTTTTCCATCGAGACAACGATCTACAGTGAGATCCGTTATAACGAGACGTGATAAAGTGCACGCGTACCGAGCGAAAATTCAAAGTCGATTTTCTCGAAAACAAAGCCTCAAACGAAAAATTTTTATTCTATATTTTCGACTTCTTTTTTCGCGTAGGATCACCCCCTTTCCGCTTGTACCACCACCAGTTACCAACCACCCTGTATACTCCGAGTAATTTTACTATGTTTTGCGTAGAATTATTGTATTATATATTTCCATATCATGAAACATTTAAAAAATATTAAACATCTTTTTATGCGTTTAATGTATAAAATTTTTTGATTTACATTATGACTAAACGTGAACACGTTCGCAATTCAACGTACTTTGCTTTTAGTACCACTCTAGGAAAGTAATACGCCTCATCAATTAAAATATTTTTGTAACTACGTATGTTAAACAGTATTCACAAAAAGTATATTGTATGTATTTTCTGAAGCTTATCGAAAAAGTAATAAATAAAGAGTATTTGTGTTATTCATGTAAAAGAAGTTAGGATTTTTGGTTTCAGATGTGTGACCTACAATCAGTGGACGTTCGTTACTTATAATATGGATCAAGAGACTTTGAACATGTTCAGAAGCTTTATTTTAAATTTAACTTTAAACAAAGCTTAATTCATTCTCCATTTTTTATACGATATTAATTACTGTATACTCAGAATAAGTAATGGCTAAAATTTCTATGTTACTTTAATAAAATATATATATACATATAATTTATTGTTAAAACTTTAATTTCGTTTGTAACATCCATTTGTGTAGTATCACCACATCACTCATAAATATAATGCACCCTCGCTTACGACGGAAGTATTAACTAAACATGAAATTAAAATTTTATATACAATACTACAGAATATTCATTAAATCTTCTATTTTTACTCCTGACCCCTTTTCACATGATAAAAATGTATTAAAATGCGATTTAATAAACTTAGAGACTAATGTAAACAGTAATAAATAAGTAATATTATAAAGATGAGGTATTGAATTCAATGTAAATTCATTTAGAATTAAAAGGACGTGATCGATAGATATTCTACGACGGAAAAAAGTAGTTCTAATTAACAAATATGACTATAAATAAAAATAACGAAATAAGTTCTAACAATATATTTTACGGGAAATTGATTTTATAGAATTATATATATACTAATATCTCATTTAGTTTGTGAGCAGATAGTACTATTTACAAATACAACATTGAACGTTTATTTAAATATCACGTATCACCTCTTCTGTAAAAATTGCTACTATTAAAGCTTTCAATTATAGTCTTCTAATCCCAATTAGGGACGTCTGTTGTATCATCTGCAACTTAAGAAATGGTTATTTTGGTACTTCCTCAAATATAAATGATTTTTTTTTTTTTTTTTTTTTTTAGTAATTAACGCGACAGCATAAGATTCATCAAGATCTTCGTCTTCATGGTGTATATATATATATATTATCGGATCTTTAACGCAACGCGTTTCACATTGGATACATTTAAATACATTTAATTATTGCATAACGATTAACAACACGTGCGTCACATTCCTTTTACAATTTTAAACATTACCGTTAGAGTTCTTTCACACGGAAATACATGCATCACAATTCGTGATAGATAGGAAATATTACATGTGCTTACATAAATAGAATCATATCTCCGTGTAAAACAGCTCTTAGTGATGGAATCGAAAGTCACATATAGCATTTAAAATAAACGATAGAATGTATTGAAATAATAAGAAATCCAAATATTTGAAGATAAAAATATGAGACTTTTAGAGACTTATATGTTTAAATGTTGTTTCACACACTTCATACAAATACTACATGAACAATTCAACTTTTCCACAAGATTAGTACATCACGTTTAATATTTCGTAGGAATAATGGAATTTGGAAAAGTTGTTTTATAAAAATTGTAAGAATTTATCGAAAGTTTCTATATAGAAATCTATTTATGTTAAAATCTGAAAATATCGAATATCCATCACTGACAATTATTATTGACTACAAGAGAATGATCGATAAGAATAATAGTTATCGATCATTTTCATTATTGATCCAATTTCATCCGGTCATACGCAGCGCACGATAAAATATAATGTACACATAAATAATTACATAGTTACAATTAGGCATAGTTTGATTTTATATATATACAAGATACATGTATGCGTATGTGTAACGCATTGAAATTGTTTAATTTATCGCGATAGGATATTATGATTGAGAAATGAACCTCGTCATTTTCGTACATGTTTCTCAAACCAACACTTCCCTTCGGCTTCTGCTTACGAGTATTTTGTTTTGGTACCGATTCTAGACACGCCTGCGTGACAAATGCTTGCGGTACAAATGTCTCTTAGCCTTCGCAATAATTACGAATCTAATAGCTTTTAAGTTTTGTTATCGATAAATATGTTAGTTTCATCTTCCTATTCACTTTTCTGGTGATATTTCAAATAAAAGAAAAGATCAAAACTATTAAAAGTATTCTATAATATCTTTCTTCATATTCTTCATATTATCAACATCCAATGATAGAAAGCTTAAAATATCGTTAAAAAAATAATAAAACTTTGCACACTTTTAAAATAGTAACGAATCAACTTAATAAACGCAATATATCACCGATAACAAAAATTTTAACAGATATGCATTATATTTCGCTTGATTAGCACAATCTCTTAGAAAATTTATTCATGATTTTGTGCGATTTATGATAGGTAACTAAATCGTAACATAAGGATTGTACATACATACAACTGTATACCTCGCTGGACTTGTCACAATATCTGTAATAACTTGAATAATGTTATCAATTTTTAAACCATATACACATATGTATACACGATCATTGTCTATTTACACAGAATATTGTGCAAAATTCATAAAAGGCGATAATCACAATAAATTATACTAAACGAACTTATTATCGTCTATATTCACTATTTATCCAGTTTCTCAAGAATGGAGAAAATTTTATTTCACGAGGAAAAATAAAAAAAGAAGCAACACACTTTACATATGGATAATACCTACATATAGATTAGCTTTAATCTTTCAATCGCTTCATTTTAAACGAAATAAATATTACTAATAATTTTTGCGTAGAATATTTATAAAAATCGTAAGGTAACTGTAAAATATATCTTGAATTCTGAATAACTGCTTTAAAAATTACTGCCTCCCTCTCTCACGCGCGCGCGCGCGTGTGTATGTGTGTCTAGACTGATTTCTAGGCTTGAACTACACGGGTGTTTTATACGGTTCGTCTTGCATGTCCCGTTTTCTCCACCAAAGTATGAAAATATAACACGCTGGCAATGCGATACAATGATACAATGTTTAGTATCGGTTTAACTACACAGCAGTAGAAAGTAAAAACGTGATTGAAAAATGTTCGATATATATTCACTAACGACTATTGAGCTTTTTCGTGTTTTTTAATATTACGCATAGAGCAGTAAGGCATCAAGGCTGTACAAAATTCATTTTTGTATTGAATTAATTCTTCCTGAATACAGTGTCTAACCCGTAGCGTGTAAGATGCCCGTAAAACGCTCATCCATTCAAGATCCTGCTTCGGCGGGGAAACGCAATATGCAACACGTAGCGTATAAGATGCCCGTGTGGTTCTCTATTCTAGCCTTAGTCCTAAGTACCGAAACATGCGTGATCAATTATTAGTCTCTTTAGGAATCAGATCTCGACGTATATCATTTTAAGATGCGGAAATATTTATCTTTCGTTAAGCGGTACAAATTACGCGGACAAATAACACATGTAAAATTTGTAAAACAGGAATTCATTTGAAGCGTTTAATTATACATAAACAAATTAAATATATGATGTTCATACAAGTTATTATATTGACTTATACGATTCGCCATTGCGTTATGTATATACAAATCTTCAGCGAGAATTCTTTTCTTTTTCTTCTTTATATGTATATATACACAGGTATGTACTTTCAACGCGAGGTTCCAGTTTTTCATATGGTAACCATCTTTTTATCTATTATATCAGGATTTCAGGAATATGTAATCATGGCTTTGAATAGTATACGCAATAATGTAACATTGCGTAATGTATAGTACAGCACACGTCCACACAAATCCTCATGTAGAAATAACTAACAACATCTATGATATACGTGTGACAGTATGAAAGCGTTTCATCGTATTATTTTACTTTGATCTAAATTCACGAAATTTCAGTGAAATACTTTAGTATCGTAACTACATTATTGGCAACGAAATGATAATGCAGTTAAATTACTAGATAAAAGAAATACTTTTTGTTGAAACCTGATGGCATCAAACTCTCTTGTGTGCTATGAAAACACCAAAATGTAGCATATTCGTGCGCGACCAAGAAATGAAATATTTAAATTATATATATGAAATAAAAAGATAGATAAGTGTAAGAAATTGAAAAGAAAAAACAATTTTTCATACCATACTTGACGATAATCGCTAAACCATATCCTGCATCGTGCAATGATAAACTTCATTTGTGTATACTCCATATGATATCCAATTATTTTAGCACTAGTACTATTAAGTACCAATAAGCGCACCAATATTCACGACATCATTTTCGGGTATTTCTTTTGCCTAAAACAGTTATTCCATATTTCTCCTATAGGCTGATCCCATTTTATACTGTACTTATCTTCATTTATTCATTATTGGGATAGAAGGGAGCATCTTCACAGTTTAAACATTGAATCGTGTTTCTGATCCATCAGCAAGCATTAGTGTAACTGTTCGATTATTTATCCATATCAATCGAGCTAGTCGCATAGGGTTTAATCGTGCTACATCGTTAATGGGTGCAGTGCTATATGATTTCACACAACGTGTTTGAGAGTTCCCTAGGCCGAACATACCACTACTTGTTTGCTGAGAACATTGAAAATTACTTAAATTAACAATAAAATTGACTAATTGATTAATGTGAGTTACAGCAATATATATATAAATAAATAGAGAACATCTTACCTGCCAAAAGCATAATTTATTCTCCGTACAAGAATAACTAACCAGAAACTTGCCTTCAGGTGAAAACGCTAATGCAGTTACAGATGCAACATGCGCAGGTACTGTTTGACATTTAACATTGCCTCGTAATTCATATAAAGCGAGCTGACCATTGCGACTACCTACTGCTATTCTGCGTGTTGCCGGACAATGACTTACCTGAAATAAATAGATATTTTATTATCAGCTAAGTATTTAAAAAATTATATGAACAATATTAACATAACTCAACTTACTTGATTAAATCTACATACTGCTGGAAACACATCATTCAATGGTTTAGTCTTAAGATGACCTGGATCCAAACAATGTAAGATAATATCCATGACCTACAAATATTAAATTATATTAAATTACACAATTATTATATTAAATTATAAATTATATAACAAATATTAAATTATATTATATTAAATATACAATTATGTTTCAATTTTATAATAATTTGAGTTATTCTCACCTCAACTAAGAGATCGCTCATTTCGCTCTGCATTTTATCAATTAATTGTTCAACAATCCTAAGTATTTCTGGTTTTGCCCTAACCAAAACACTTGCACCCATATTTACATTTAACGTTTGCGCATTTTGTTGTAGTGTATTGTATCTAGCTACTTCTCGTGCCATCGTAGTAATAAATGCTGCAGGTCGAGCAGTAGCTATTAAAGTTAAAGCATGCCTTGCTGTACGACAGGTATCAGCTTGAGGTGTAAGCGGAAGGCCATATGTCATATTTGGTACCAATTTATCAGCATCACAACACATTTCTAGTAATCCCAATAATACCTGTATTGGATACATTGACAAATCTT